ATGAAGCACCAGGTGCTAGCAAAATGGAAACTCCTCCAGAGCAGGCGAAAAGGTCTGAGTGGGCAGAAGCCTGTAAAACAGCTCTGTTCTAGCTATCCATGAAGCCTCTAGCGTAAGGACAGCAGGAACAGTGACATGTTTGTTGCTAAATGTGAAAACAATACAGGGGCCCAATGCAGGGAATAAACTACAGAGACAACATAAATCATTGAGGGTATGAACACAGCTAGTTCAACAGACTGAGCTTTCTGTAGCTTTTTGGTGACATATGGCAATAAAATGATTGATTTTTGGGTCAGAACTGCAGTTCATCTAGTTCAGCATGAGGCCTCCACTTATGGCTGCTACTTTCCAAGAAGCTGAAAGCGCCCTTCATTGGATATAGATAAAATAATCTAAACTCGTCCTCATATTGGGCCTTCTATCTCAAATACAGAAGTTGCCTTTGGGGTGAAGGAAAAGATTGATTATTCTTCCCAATAAATCTATTATAAGTCACTACAGAACGGTTGACACACGACAGTTTGTGTCTTGTCTACACACAATTAAAAGGATGAGTAACAAGTTCTTGGTATTTATCAATACTTTGTATATTAGCATCAGTTCAGCAGTTGCCTTGAAAGCATTTCAATTGCTTTAAATCACTAAGCAATATTAACTTAACATTTGCAAATATTCCAAATAATCCTCCTACTAGCTGCATATTGTGATACTTCAACTAAAGAGGAAAAATCAACAACTCCCAAATTTTAAATTAAATAATTAAAGACAGCTATTGATATCTAAATCTACTGAGATAAAATGAAACCTATGATTTATAGTCAATTTATCTAAGGTTACACTGTCGCAAACTTATTGTGGTATATTGAAGGACAGGGAAAAATATGTTCTCAGATATTAATGATGCATTCAGCCAAGATTGAGACCAATGAAAATTATTAGTTGTTAAGTTAAAATATACATGTTTGTATATTTTTGGCTTGAGTAATCAGACATTGCAGGATGAAAAAAAAGATACTATAATGCTTCTTTCTTGAGTGACAAACATGAAAACTTCCAGTGAGAATTCATTTCGCATGCAGAATGGGGCCAAATATTAAGTAACTGTAAATAACTAAAAGAGAGTTAACAATTCTCAGTATATTGAAGGATCAGATTGCCAGCACAGGCCACATTTTTTAAGTATTTGTGCATCTTTATAATCATTGGTACTTCTCTGAAAAGGTCCCAAGTCTCCACGTTTTGGGGCAACTGACAGCTATTCTTACATGAACGAACATGTTTCCATAACCCAACATATGGAACCACTTGCAGGAACATTTTAATTTTATTGTGATTTCTTGATATTTCTTAGATTCCTCACACCATCTGAGAAATTATCAGGGCACCTTCCTATATATTTTCATTCTTGGCAAGTCATTAGAAAAAGAAAGGCAGGGGAAAAAGTATTAAAATCTGTTACCACTTCTATTCTTTACAAAATTCCTGGTAAAATATCATCCCAGTAAAATACTGAATACTTTTACAAAGATCGTAATAAGGAAGAAGATTTTAATCCCGCTTTTCAATCACTGTTGTTGTTTGCTTGCAGCTCCAGCCCCCAGCGAAGTCAATGATTTTGACATTGAGTTCAACAAGGACACAATTTGATCCTTTTGCTACATGCTGCCTCTAGAAGCTCATAGGTGTTTTTCAAGCAAGAGGCATGCAGAAGTGTGGGCAGGTACGTGTGTGTTCACAGGAGAGAGGCCACACCTCCTTCTTGTACTGAAAAACTGTACTCCACTAGTGTCTCCAAATTCTATCAGAGCTTAGTTGAAAAAGACTTTATTGATAAATAAAGCCATTACAAAGTAAAGCCTCCAAAGCGTATAGCAAAACTAGACTGTTTCAAATAAAATTTCCATCTTCGGAAAAATGTAATTTTCTGCTAGCAGTTCAAGAAAAGAAATGCACCTAATTCTAATGAATCTCTCTGAAGAGGGACTAAGAAACTTCACATGCACGAGCACTTACAGCGTACTGTTGGCTATGCTTCTAGCTTTCAGCTCTAGGGTTTTTTTTTTCTTTTAAAGGGCCTGTTCTCAAACTTCTTTGTCAGGAAATTATTGCTGGGTGAAGAATACTGGCCGTTTTCATGGATACCCAGCCATTCTTCCGAGCAAAGAAATGACCTATGGTGAAGCAGGAAAGTTTCCTGATTTGTCTTGTTTCCTCGCTTTTTCTTCTTTTTTAGATGATGCAAGTCACAGCCTAGATCACAACTGAAGCAGAGCTTGCAGTGCGACTAAACAACATTGCTTAAAACTACAGTACTGTTAAACTGACAGACTTTATAAGCACTCAGTTCTGTTTCATTGTACAAGCAAAAGCATTTCCCTTACGAGGGGAAATTAGCTAGCGGAGCAAGATCATACAGCAAAGCAGAGGAGCCCTGCTGATACTTGCCGAAAGCAGGCAGGAACTGAAAGGAGGAGGCATTAAACGCAATTCCCTGCCGCTCGTTCTCTTCAGGCACAGGCAGCTCTCTACTGGAGGTCTGCTGGTTGCAATCAAAGTCTGCCCTAAGAGACCTTCTCCGGCATGTGGTGATCAGCAGCAGCAGCAGTGAACCATGAAGCGCTCATTGAATTTAGGCGTGATCCTGGAGGCCCCCGCTCGGGAGGATCCCCAACGCCCTCAGCCCCGCACCGCCGGGCCAGGCGCCGTGAGGTTTTGCCACCAACAACTTCCCCATCAGGTTCTCCAAGTCTCCTCCAGGCCTCCGCCCGGCAACCGCCCGCCCCAGGGCGGCGCTGCACCCCGCGGCCCTCCCTGGCCGCCCCGGGCAGCGCGGGCAGGCAGGAGCCGAGCGGCCCCGCGGGCCTGTCCGGGCCTGTCCCGGCCCGGTGCCCTCTGCCGAGCGGCGCGTCTCCTCGGCGCGCTTCGTAAAGACGCCGCCTCTTTCAAAGCGGTGGCGCTTATAGGGCATTTTAAAAGCTTTTAAAGCGACTCCTATTTATAGATCACCCTTCTTATTTTTAGAGTTGAGCCGGGGTTGGCAGAGCGCGTGGGGGTGCGCCCGGCTGGCCGGCTAGCCGGGGCGCAGCCTGCCTTTACGGGGCATGCCTCCTCAGAAAGACGGCTCCGAGTGCTTTTAAATATATAGTTAGTAAAGAATGAGCGATAAAATGTGTCAGTTCATCAGATTAAAAATTTAGAGCTTCAGAGCGGCTGTGGGGCTGCTGACAAACATTGTGTTCCTGCCATCTGCGGCTCAGGCTTCAGCCGGCGGCGGGCAGAAACCTCTGTGAAAGGTTTAATATAGGAGAAAGATAAAGCAGCCAGAGCAACAGCAATATTTACGGTCAGGTCAGCACAACACACTTGGAAACGTGTGCTTTAATGTTTCCTAACTGTGTTTCTCAATAAAGCTGTTAACAGGATTTGGAGGACAGTCATGCACTCCACACATTTAATCTTAAGAATGAGATTGGATGAGTAAGGAAAGAGCAGAAAAGCGTATTTCTGTGCGGTCAGAATAATGCGTTATCGGTTAGGATATGAACAATGGAAGAATGTTTGTCAGTCATAAAAATGTTTGGTGGTCAATAGCCAATCTCTAACATTATTTTAGAAACGGCCGTGATTGTAGAAGTTCATTAGCTGTTTTGCGGCTGTACATTCACTCCGAAGGATGTGTCCTCCCTTTCTCTGGTACGTTAAATTCACATCAAATGTAAAGGGAGCTGTATGCCCGTAATGAACCGGCATATAGCCCAGGGCGTGCACGTTCCATCACCAGGGCCCATTATGTGCATCTCAGGAAAAGGGACCAAAGGATAAATTAGATTTCTTGTGAACTCAAACTCTACAATGTTTCTGCTGTTCTCTTAAAATGTGTTTATCCATATCGCTGTTTCTCTTGCCTTTCAGATTACGTAGCTCCAAAAGAAGCTGTTAATAGGTTATTTCGTAGAGCTAAACTGCAACTGAAGAAGCTGCAGTGGAAGAATTACAGGCAGCAGTATTAGGGAGAAAGGTTCAAGTGCCACAGGCCAAGCAACTGCATAGGCTCAAGTAATTTTGAAACAAAGCCTTCCTTAGATTATTAGCAGGGATTAAATCTAGCTTTTTCGGAAACCAGATAGTTTCTTACCAGTTAACATAAGGGAATATTTTAATTTGCTGCTGATTATTCACTCTTTTCCACTGTGTTCTAGCCACCATACAGGAACATCTCAGTTTTAGCTAGTAAGTTAGGCCTGCAGTTAAACAAGAGATGAGGAAGTCACTCCGAGTAAAACGTACTGATCATTGATGTTGCTTGTTACGCTTGAAGGCACTTAAATACCTATAGCACGCTCTGGAAAAATAGTATAAATTGCAGAGTACAAGTTAAAGCAGTATCTTGCTATAAGTTGTAAACAGAAGGTAACACTGCTGTTCCAGAGTCATCCTAGTGACACCCCCTATCTAAAGTTTGTCTTGAGCCTAAATGTCCTATAGGACAAGAACGTATATAGGAGAAATCAACACTTATACAGGAAGAAGCTTACATTTGCAGCTTAGAAAATTTTCTTTAATCTTTCCAGCGACTTTAAATATGCCCAGGTGGCAAGTAGAAAAGATAATTTTTCTCCCTAAAAGTCTTCAGACTAAATTAGGCAATTAAACATTTTTTATCCTAGTTTCTTGTCTTCTGGCAGGTCGCTACAGGTGAGAAATGTTCTGAAAGACAAGCTATGTTTTAAATTTCACCTGGCCAGTTAATTTCCATATAACTGATTAATTTTCCCAGAGTCCTGTTAATGATGGACAAGAGCTATAGCTCACATTCCCTCAGTTATGCTGGCATGGCAAGAATAACAAGCAACCTTAAAAAAAAGTATTTTTGTTACTGAAGTCAGCACATGCATCTCTGAATTCACACAGGGAGCAGATGTGATAAGTAAGAAGATACCATTTGTACACACTCAGTGTGTTGGGGCTGAACTACGCTTAAGAGAAAGTTGCGTAGCGCATAAGTCTGCAGTCAAGAAAGGTTGTTCTTAAATACGCTAATTCTTTTAGAGCCAGGGCTAAGCTCCTAAACACTCACTTTTTTCCTGTCAGTCGTTCTTTTGATTGAAGAGAAGGAAAACAAAACTTGCGCCTCATGAGGAAGATATAGAGCTATTTTGATGACCTTCTTTTACAAATGCTTCTCTTGAGACCCAGTCTCTCACTTAGAGCAGATCTCTGGTCTGAACCATCCTTCTCTGTGAACAGGTAAGTTCTGATGCTTTTATTTCCTTTTAATCTAATGGACAGGTTTCTAGCTTATATTTAATTAACATAATTTCCTCTTGTGCTGGCAATCTTGAAAAGGGACAAAAGGCTTTTGAAATAAACTCATAAGAAATTCAGAATGCTGAGGAATAAGCAAAAGAGATTAAGGAGGTCAAATAGAGATCTGCTGGTTGTCTTCAGAAAGAAAGAAAAAGCTGGGTGTTGCTCTTTCTTGCTTGCTTTCCCTGGACTTAGCTGCTTCTATTCGATGCTAGCCATGATAAAGAGCTTTGCTTGTAGCCCCATTCCTGTTCTACTGAGTAAAAAGATATTTTGATCACCCTATTCGACAAAAATAAGGCAATGTCAGTCTTACTGCCTATGTGCTTTCTGATTTGGTATGTTTTTGCAGTATTAGTCTCTTACCTGAAGAGAGGAATACAATCCTTTCAAAGTGATTTGGTCAAAGTTACAATCAGTGTTTGGTTTTGCAGATGTAGCTCAACATTAAGCAACTGTTTATTTTGGTTCACAGGTGGGAATAAAAAGCTTTGAACTTTAAACTTGATTATTGTGACATTTCAGCTATTTTGTTATTTGCCTTTTTTCTAACACAACTTGATCAGGAGACAACATATGAAGGAGCAACAATAAATATCAGTCTAGTTCTGTAACCTTTATTCAAGTGAGTAATACCTCTGAGTTTAGGGGTGACTGGTACTCCTATAGGAATCACAGTGATGGGAACTTATTTGGTTCTAAAGGGCTTAAATATTCAGTAAAATACAAAGAAGATGTATAATGATTCCGTGTTGTTGGACTTTTCAAGGGGCACAGCAACTAAACAAACAGCTGAATGATCTAGCAACAGCAGGAGACCTGCTAATGCAAATACTTAGTGGAGTGACTCATAAAAACAAGCCAAAAGAAAAACATTAAGCAGCTTGCCCTTTTTTTTCCCTCTCTCTCTCTCTCTTAATATCTTAAAAGCGCAAGCAGATCAACACCAAGGAATGTCTTCAAGCAGAACAGACAGCTTTAAACACAGCATATACACTTAGTTTTGTTATGTTTATTTTTCTCTACTTGCATATGGTGCATTCAAAAGAATTGGTTAGGGAGGCAAAAGTAAGATGCCATTCCTTCTTAACAGCTAAACCAATCCATGAAAGTCTTTCTCCTGCTCAATTACTGAAGAGAAAGATGTCTAAAGAGCTTCTTTAGCTCTCTAACTATGCTCTTTGATGGCCATCTTGGTGTATAGGGCTACTCTAACTATGGCAGGCAATACTGGAGTAAAACAAGCATTAGGACTAAGACTTTAAATGTAGTTGGCTTTAGGGCCTAATTTTCAGAAATATAACTATCAGAAATAAGTAGAGATTCCAAACCTTTGGAAATCCTGATGTATCTGTGGGATTTTCATAGGAATTCATGTAGTTCTTTGGTGTTAACGCTTTCTTTCCCTTCGTGTATCTTTCTGCGGATATTATCATAAGCTAGGCATACTGTCATGTATTTGAAATTTTCTCTGCGGTGTTTTGTAGCTTTACTATTCTAAATTTTCCTTCCAGGAAACTGCAGTCGCATGAGTTTAACCAGCATACCTCTTACACTGTGGAGTAGCCATATTAGTGAAGGATCTAATCTGAATCAATGTGACATTCAAGCTATTAAGTGAATGTTGCATGTAGCGCAGGAATTTAAAGATATTACTGTCTGTGGTTGCCATGTACAAATCTATGCCTCAGAGAGGAGACCATTCTCTTAGGGCCACTCTCTAATAAAAAAGCATTACTTCTTGAGAGAACAAACCAACTGCCAATACTTGCAATACCCTGTGAATGTTAGTGGAGACTGTGCACCTTGCAAGTTCAAGCACATCATAAAGACTGCCGAATTAAGGTGTTGATGAGATTTTTTTCATCATCTCTTTTATTTAGTACAAACTACATAATGTACAAAATCTGCATTCTCAGTCATAACCAATCTAAACTGATTGGTAATTATAAATGTACTTACACCTGCTCATTTATCTCAAGAGTAGGTCTTAATGGCAAAATTACAAGTTAGTCGTCGTTGAAATTTTAAAAAGTAATCTCCATCCTTTGTGTTTCTCATCTAATGTATAAATAGCCTGGTGTGATTCTTGGAAACCTTTAATTTCTGGCTGCAATAAACTGGTAGAGGAACACATTGCTAAAATACATGCTTGCAACCACTGGAAGGAAGTCTATCTTACTAGTATCTTTATCATTAATTTGCAGTAATGATCCAGAAACTCAAACCGGCAGGAAGGATAAAAATACAGAGACAAGCCTTAAATAGCTGTTGACAGGGAAGCTTTAGAAATAAGTTTAGCCTCAGCCTCAGCTACAGTGACTGCTTGCCAGTCTCTCTCTCTCTGTGGCGTTGTACTCCTTGTTGTTTGCTATGTCAGCATGTGCCTGTAGAACAGGCCCTGCCCTTCCATTCTTCATGGGAAACTACATGGGACTGAATCCTACCCTGTAAAGGAAGGTAGGATTTGGGAGCGGGTGCAAGACGTTTGTACTCTAAGCCTTGTTTGGGGGCTCTGTAGCTTTACTCGTACTGTAGCTTTACTTATACTGTAGAGTTTGGAAGCAGGTCTGGTGGTTTCCACAGCTCCTTAAGCGTTGAAACTAATCAGGCATTATGGTTATTGAATACCTCAGTCTGGATCAACCCGTCCACCTGCCATGTGGAGTGTGGCAGTAATTCAGTCACTGAGGGGCACTCAAGATCCCCATTTGCAATCTAACAGAGATTATCTCTAGGCCTCATGTTGAGTTGGGCTGTGAGGGCTTGGAGTGGAGGAGTTAACATCTAGCCTGCGACCCTGTTGTCTGATGAGTATTGCTTTTCTGTGTTCATTGTCTATTCATAATCTGTGCAGCTAAACAAAGGTTTGGCATGGATTTGGTCTTCTTTAGAGAAAGTCGATATCAAATCTGGTTTTGCAGTTTGAAAGTTTCACCTTTCCAAAATGAAACCCAGAACTGGTTGGGTTCTAAGTGCTTCTCATTCAAAGGAAGAATGACCAGCATAGATACTGATAGATATCTGTGGGATTTAGTTCACGGCACTGACAGCAGTTCACATTTTTACTGCCCTTGTTTACTAATGCAATTAACTATTTTGTTAACTAATTTAAAAAATAATTACCAAAATTAGAAGCAATAACTGGCAACTGGCTTATAATATTTTCAACCAATCACTGCCTGCATCCAGATGGGTGATCCATGTCAAAGTGATGTACAGGGATATCCTTTAAAGTATTTGGTTCTTATTACAAGGGCACATCCCATGGCATTGCTGTCATGTGTTACCTTTGCTGTAACGTTATGCTGCCTAGATTACTATGAAGGTTCTCTTCTTTGCATTCTGCAAGAGACCTGGTGATTGCTTCCCAGCAATGATGAGAATGAATTATGAGCCTATGTGCCTCTTCCTAAAATAACAGGGAATGAATTTCATGTGGGCAAACACTTGACTCATTCTTCTTGGAAGTGATAGCTTACCACACAGGACTTGGAGGCTGCTCAGTGAACCAGTCCATGGTTCACAGGAAGAAGAAGCCTCCAGAGAAGCTCAAAAACTCAAAGAATAACATTCTTGGCCAAAAATAACCCTGAACACTGAAAACATTTTGAAAAAAAAATGTTGATTTACTTGTACATCTGTTGCAGCAACAATTACCTCCAGACATATCTGAAAGATGAGCATCTTTTGTCTTTTTACTCTTCTATTTCCAAGTAAAGCTTCTTCTTTACCAAACCAGAGCTACATATGATACATGTGCCTTATGATCATGAGTCACATGAGCCCCAATGTCACTTGCTACTGGTGAAGCCCCTGGTGCATGATTGGAAGGTAAGAATGGCTGCCATAGCAAGTTGCAATAGTACAATGGCGACCTCTCGTCCGTGAAGGACCTGAGAAAAAACAGAAACCTTAGGAAATCCCAGAACTGTAGCAATCGTAATGTGAGAGAGGGACAGTTCATGTGTGATAATGTACAGGGGAGAAGGGTGGGGTCCATTCTAGGCGCTTCCCAAATGAACATGGGAAGGATGGAGCCAGGGGCAGAGCGGGCTGGCTGCATGCAATGCTGCAATGCAGTGCAGCATTTTGCGTTATGGGTTTCAGCACTGGCTGGTATAGGAATGTGTGAGCATGGACGTGGGGGTAAGATGGGATCAGGGTAGGATAAGCAACATATTTCTTCTCTGTGTTCACACACACTGGTGAATTGGAGATCGCCTGTTCTCTCTCACATCCTCCACAGCTGCCACGTGTTTTTCCCTGTTTTGCAGTTGCCTGGGGAGATGGTGTGGCCAAGTGTACACTGTATTTTTGAATCTACATATTTTGACTGGCAGACTCCTTGGCACAGTGTACAAAATGGCTGACTGACAGCAGAAAGAATATGCCCATCTTAGAGACTTGAATCCTTCCTTGGATGAAGGAGCTGTTGTGTACTGCCAGCTAGCATTCTTGTTGATTGTTAAGTTTCCAAATTAAAACATGATTTAACTGTACATGAGGCAGTATGTGCTGGGAGATGCTGCTGTGCCATGGATCTTTAAAGGATATTGCATAGACCAGGGAGCCAAAAACAAACCTGCCACAGACCTTTTTCCTTTCTTCTTGTCTCTTTCCCCAGCCCTTGTACAATATCTCCTCCCTGGCAGACATAAAACCCTCTTTCCTCCCTCACAATTTTAAATAGGGAGATAAAAACAGAGATTAGCCTGCCAAGAACAGTCAAAAGAGTCTGGAACCGTTGGTGGTAGTGGGAAACAAAGGAGAGGAGCTGGTAGTTCCCCAGAGTCATTTATTTGCTTACGAAGATATATAATACCAGTACTCATACCACAGAAAGAGTAATCTTTCCCATCTCTGGGAATATTTCA